TGTGTTAGGATAGGAGTTCTTTTGTGCTTCAGCGAAAAAGATAGAGAGTCGGGGTCGGGGATTCTCGAGTGTGCAGAAGCGAATCGGATTAGCTTTTAGTCTGATTTTCTTTTCCAATTTCGTCTTTAAACAACAAAAAAACCTTATGTTTATGTTGGAGAAAATAAAAGCAAAGAGAATGAGATGATGGTATGTTTGGGAATATGAATTTGGATTTCAAATTTACATTTGTCTCAAATTCTATGTTTGGAAAATTTAAATATTTTGAATTTGGATTTGAGTCAAAATTTTCTCATTTATAACAAAGTTTAATTTAAAATCCATTCACCTCCCCTTCTCATTTGAAATTCAAGATTTCAAATTTTGGAATTGAAATGCATGAATTAAAATGAAATGCTAGTTGTCAAACATTATCTAAAAGAAATTGAAAAAAAAATGAGGAGTGATGAGTGTATTCCACCCAAAACCGGTCAAAGGCAATGGCCAGATGTTTGACCGGTCAAATGAATCATTCCTGATAGGGAGATCTAAATCATCATAAAAGAATACTTGGTTGACTTGAAAGTTGACCGGTATACTTCGGATAGTATACCGGTCAAACGACTTTATTATCACCCGTTTCGGAAAGCTCATCCTTCAGAAGTCACCCGGTATGATTTCAAAGGTTGTGAATTATCGGCAGAGAAGAGTCCAAAAGGGGCTTGGACCGTAGCATTCAAGATCAACGGAGAATCGCTGGGGATACTTAAACAATCCATCCAAGGTGCTACATGACAAAGGGAGCAATCCTCCTCGCAAGGTTACAAAACGGCTAAAGGACAAAGGCCATCACCTCCCACCATCCAAAGGCCTCGCAAGGTTTCTTCCGGTACATTACCGTATATCCCTTGGAATTCCTTAAATAAAGCCTCAAAAAGAGTAATAGCATTATCTCTTTTTTTGCACATTCTATTAAATAGTTGTAGTAATAATTATTTTCATTTAAAAACAAATGTAGTACTCCCTCCGTCCACAAATAAACTTTACATTACGCGTTACGGTGTTTGACTGAAGTTATTTTCAAATCATTTTATATAAAAAATGGTGTAAAATTGAAAAATAAAAATTACATATTAAAAAACTATATCAAAAGATCTACAAAACTAGAGGTGACATGACTATATTATTTTATCAAATAGGTGACGAAAATAGGCCAACAAAGTGAATAAAGTTTGACCCTGTGAATAGTGAACGTAAAGTTTATTTGTGGACAGAGGGAGTAATAGTCAATTAGAATTTTAAAATTTTCAATCTTAAAGCGAGGATCACAAATAATACCTACTCCCTCCGTCCCCCTATATTTGTCCACATTTGACTTTTGGAACTGTTAATCTAAGCACTTTGACTCATCAAATGCTCTCAATGTGTAAGCCTAAATATAGTCATGTGTGATCTTGTTTGATTTGTCTTAACATATAGATTATTACTATATAATTTTTATAATTTTTTAATATACAAATTACAAGATAAAATGGATTAAAAAAGTGCATTGGATGATGTGCAAAAATGAAAGTGGACAAATACAGGGGGACGGAGGGAGTATTTTATAAATATCAGGAATGTACAAATAATAAGCACACCATTTATCTTTCATAGGAGAGACATAGAGGTACAAATCTGGATGAGGTAAACTCTTGCGATTGTAACGCACTCTTTAAAAAATCTATTTGTAGTTGGTTGGCAAACATGCGAGAAAGTAAGAGTTGCGTTATTAAAAACTTCTAATACGGCATTCAATTTTTCAACAATAACAAATTTGTTCAAAGAAATCATAAAACTAAGTTCATTCTAAGAAATTCAGCAAGTTTCTCTTTGTAGCTTAGTCTCTGTGTTATGAACTAAAAATCTGAAAAACTCCATGCTTATGCATTATGAGAATATATATTTAGTTATATAGGAATAATATTTATATGCAAAACTATTTATGTTTAAAAACTAGCTGTCAAGATAATTAAATAATACGAAGTATATATTATCTAATTAGCACTTGTATTTTGCACTAAAAAATAATAAAATATCTAAATACTACATACATTAACGCTCTTAGAATATTTTATTTTAAAGTTTTAATTATTCTTTAGATATATTTAACAAAATTATGAATAGTATACAAAATTAAACATGTACCACTTTTGAAAAAATGTAAGATTATTATTCCTTTCGTCCCTAAATAATTTTTACTTTACAGAAAACGAAATAAAATCTCAAATTTTCTCAACTGATTTTATTTAAAGATTGGTATATAAATAAAAATAAGACTTACATATTTAAAAAATACATCAAAAGTTCTACAAAATAAGAGATGACAATAGTATTTTATTTTATCAAATAGTCAATGAAAATACACAAATAAACAAAAGTTTCGACAAATTTTCAGTAGTAAAATATGTTGGTCATTTAGGGACGAAGGGAGCATGTGATATCATTAAAAACTTTTTTGAAAATAAAAGTTTATACAGTAAAATGAGTAACACTAAAAAAAATAAAAACATAACTTTGTTTTTAATACATTATATTTCATACTCCTTCCGTCCCAAATTATAATGTCTGTTTACTATTCACAATGTCAAATTTCATCCACTTTCTTTCTCTATTTTCAATAGTTATTTGATAAAATAAAGTATCATTGTCACTACTAGTTTTGTAGATCTTTTGATGTAGTATTTTAATATGTAATTTTTATTTTTTAACTCTATACCATTTGTCATATAAAATGATTTGAAAATAATTTCAATCAAACATCGTAAACCGAAACAAGCACTATAAACTGGGACGGAGGGAGTACTATAGTACATGATTTTGAAAACTCTTATGTTAGCGGGTTGGTTAGGTCGGGTTCAGATTCAATCGGGTTTGATGTATTTTTAGTGGGTCATTTTAGATTTGGTCATGTTCGGGTTCGATCAACAAAATCTTTGTTCAATTTTTCTCAGATTTACCCGTGTATTTGTATCTAAACCCAAATATTCATTAACATTACTTTTTTTAAAATCTAGTTTTATAAGATTTGTAAACTAATTTATTTAAAATTTGCATATTTTTGCTCAGGGCCGATAAATTTTGTGAGACGGCCCTGAAAATTGTCCATTTTGGGTTTTAGCTTGAGGGAAAGTTTTTAAAATATTTCTTGAGTTTGTTAGCTGACCAAGATAAAGAGCTTTTTGCTGCACTGCTGCAGAGTAGTATCCAATCTGGATTGAATGGTGCCAGAAGTCATTTCCAGTGAATTGGGCTAAATCTTTCAGTTTCTTTAATAATGAATTGTGAACTACTCCGTATTTTATAAATAGGAAATGATCTTTTATTATACGAATAACACTCCATGTACAATCAGAGGCCTATCTACCCTATAGAATATGGGGGGCTGGGGGTGGGTTCGGTTTTGGCGGTTCAGTTTTTACCCAAAATCAAAGACAAAACGGAAGGTAAATTGGCGGTTCGGTTTGGTTTTGCATAAAAAATATGAAAACCGTTGGTTATTCGGTTCGGTTTTTTACGGATTTTATTTCGGTTTTTTTCGGTTTTTTCGGTTTATAAAAGTAAAAATTTATAAGCATTAAAAAATTATAAAACACTAACTCGATTAAACAATAAAAATATGTAGTGTTAGCTTTGGTTTTTTGTTTGATTTTTACACAAAAACAAAAAACCAAACAGAAGGTTATTTGCTTCTTTTAGTTTAGTTTTACATAAAAAAGATGTGTGGAGTGACAACAAACATTTAGAAGATTCTAAATACTTCTAAAGACATCGTATGTAAAATCAATTATGAAGAATTTATATTTTTTTTATAATATTTTCAATTTCATTATAACATCAAAGTATTTTTTATGTAAATATGTAAATTACGCGTATCAATTTTTAATTTTAATATGATTCTATATTAGGATTACTATTGGTGTTCATATATATTCTTAAGTTTTTTAAAGTTTGTAATAATATGGCTAGAATATTTAATTAATAGATAAGAAAATAATTTAAATCGACTAGTAATTTATTTGTATTTATATTTCTATGATTTTTCTACATATCACATATATTCATAAAAATAAAGTGAAGTATCTAAAAAAGTTCGGTTTATTTGGTTCGGTTCGGTTTTCAAAGTGAAAACCAAAACAGAACCAAATACTAACAGTTTTGTTCGGTTTTTTTTACATTCGGTTTCGGTTTTTTCATTTTGGTTTTTTTACTAGCTCGTTTCGATCGATTTCAGTTCGGTTTTCGGTTTTCGGTTTTTCCAACCCAGCCCTAGGGAGCAAGGGTGGGGCTGGGGTGGGGGGTTTAGGGGGAGGGTTAGAGGGGTGGGTTAGGGGGGTGGGAACCGTCATTTTTACAAATGGAGTACCGTAGGTACTGCAAACGAACTGGTGTAAGCAAATGACACCAGTAGCACTGACGTCATTTTAGACTTACCGTATATATATATATATATATATATATATATATATATATATATATGAATATTTTTAAATTTTATATATAATTGCCCCCAAATCCATTAATTGGCCCAAACTAATTAATTATCTAAAGTTTAAAGATCCAATTTCAAAAGTGGCCCAATTGTCCAAATTCCCAAATAAATTTAGGGGCTGTTTGGCAACTTCTGAATGGGTAAGTGCTGAACCAGTAAGAGGTCTGAATCATTAAGTGCTGAACCAGTAAGAGGTCTGAACCATTAAGAGCTAGTATATTGCTTAACTATTCAGAGGCAAATGTCTGATCAATTCAAATAACAGCTCTTAACCATTCAGACTCTGTATAATACTTAACCATTCAGAGGCAAATCTCTTAACCATTAAGAGGCTGAAACAAACAGTCTGAACCATTAAGGTGCTGAATCATTCGGACATAAGCGTCCTCACTCCCATTAAAATTATCCGGCTTCCCCTTCCTTTGGCTTTTGCGGAAACCGAGAAGCAGGAGCAGCTGAGTAGCCGAACACTGGAATCCGAACAGGAGCACCGAGCACCCCCGTCGCCCGTCCGCCGCGTCGCCGCCAGACCGCCACAGCTTCAATCCTTCGGTCCACTATCGCACAAGTACAAATTTCAGGTATTTCCAAATAATTTCTTTCCTTTTTAATATATGATCTAAATAATTAGATAAATCTGAAAATTATATTTATGTGTAATGTGTGAAACCTTTTGGATAATTTGTTTTTATATTTCAATTTTCTATAAAATGAAATTGTTTATTATGTTGATTATTATTAATTATAATTTATAATTGTCCCAAAACATATGAATTGGTGACTCTAGTCTCTAAAAAGATATTAATTCTCAATTGATATATTTAAATAATTTGCGTTGCTTCTTTGAATTGCTTATTTGCATTGCTTCTTTGAATCCACGTGACTCGTTCTGTGATTTTGACAAATCTAAAATTTTGAGGATGGCTGGAATGTATCCCAATGATTTTATTAATGGCGAAAGGATGAGTCTTGAGAATGAGCTTGACCTTTATATTCACAATGTGCAAAAAGACGAAATATTCGGTAACTTGAGTGGTTTAGTTGAGCTTGCTAAAGTGATGGTAAGTACAAGGAAAAATTTTACATTTCCTTTGGTCTATCACTTATTGAAGCTTGCCTTAGTTTTACCTGTTGCTACGGCAAGCGTTGAGAGATGTTTTTCAGCAATGAAACATGTAAAGTCGGATTTGTGGAATCGAACGGGGGATGAGTTTTTGAATGCTTGTGTGATTTGTGTTGTGGAAAAGTAAGTATTTTTAAATGTTACAAATGAAGATATAATTGATCACTTTCAAAAGATGAAAACTCGAAGAGTACAATTGTAAGAGGTATGTTCTATCTATTTAATTGTACCTTGTTTTTCAACTTAATTTTAATGGTAAGGAGTATGTTCTATCTATTTAATTGTCTCTTGTTTTTGAATTTTATTTTTTTCACTTTAATTTACCTAATGCCCCCAGTGAAAAAATTTCCTGGATCCGCCACTGTGTACAATATTAATAAAGTGTATTTTATTATGAAATAGAAATTGTGAGTTGAATTATTGTTTAGAAGTATTTGAGGCTTTAGAGATATATTCAGCACTCCGCATTCCTTATATTGAAGCTGTTTCTTTGTTTGGTTTTAGCAGATCTTCTAAGACTAAAATGATATGTATGGGTACACAAATACTCCCTCAGCCCCTATTTGATCTTCATGTTTTGAATTACAGAGTATGATTCATATCTAAGTTATTTAAATATTGGTGTACAATTTAAAAATATTATATGTACTTTAAAAAAATACATCAAAATTTATATGGTTAGAAAAAGAAAAAAACTTGCAGGAATACTCTACAAATGTTGGATTTCACACGAATACCCTCAAAATCAATTAATGATACCATTACTCCCACAATTGTTCTCTTTTTATATAAATAATCTGCCCGCCACCTCACTTTCTCAATCATCTTGTGGAATGTTTACATGGATTTTAAAATCGACGACATGGCAAATGAAGTACTTATTCCTCCCAAAGCCATTTGTCTGCTTCTTTGCCAATTGAATTATCAAATCGCATCCTCATCCTTTTTTTTACAACATATTCAATTAATATGCTACTAACTTTTATCAATTAAACACACTGACAAGTCTAAAAAATAAAATAGGGAGTACTAAAAACCCATCAAATAAAATTATACTCCAAATGCAGTTAAAGATTTTTTATTTAAGTCATGCTAGAAACCTACCAAGGTTGACCCCAAGTGTTTCAGAGACATATACAGAGTCATTGTTTGGGATGCACAGACAATCACTATTTGTGATGCACTTGGCGTCAAACTCTTAACGTTGAACACTTGAGCCTGGTGGGTTTCTAACATTTTTGTTGTTATTTATTTTCTAATTCTTAACTCTTAACATTATCATATTCTTTGCTACTCCTTTTGGTATCTTCTTACATTTTCCAATTCCCTCCTACTTTTTCCAATTACTTTTGGAGATGGTTTTGTTCTTTTCTGTCCCTGTGGTTAGTATGAATTAATGTATCACTTACTGTGTGAACTTCGGTTTTATGTTTTATTCTTATGGATCCTTATTTTGAAATTCACGGTGTGCCCAACAAGCTCTGATGTTTGTAGTATTATGACATGCTTTTGCTTTGTTTTTTTACTCACTTCACATTATTGAACGAGTCGTGAATGATTCCTAAACACATACTTTAATGCGTAGTATATGTTAGTGCATGTTCTCTTTGTCTGAACTTTTGGTTTTGATATGAATTTTTAAGGTCTGGTCTTGTTTGATCTTATTCTAGTTAAATTTAAAGTTCTTTCTCATCTGATCTGAATCTTTCAAATCCGATCAAAAAACATTATGATCTTATGGGGTCTAATCTGGTTCTAATAAGAATAAGTAATAAGTAGAAAAAAGCTAAAGAGAACGGGCCCGTAGCCCTTAAGATTCCTTGTTTTACCGAAAGTTGATTGCGTATTAATCAAAGCTTTATAATCTTTGCCTGCCACACTAAAGTGTGCATCGATTAAAATTTTGAATCTTAGGATGCGAGATGCGACACAACAAAACATGGCTATCTTGTTTTGAGCATTATTCCGTACTAGTTTTCACATAATTGTGCTTTCACTATTGTTGTCACTATTTTATGCCCAAAAAGGAGCCAAACATAAAATGAGATGGCTTACTGGGTCACAATTTCCTTTAGATAATCAGATATAAGAATCTGAATCGACCCTTTTTTGAGGCATGCATTACAAAACACTTTGGTTAATCTTTTAATATCCGGTTTATTACTTCCAACATATAATGTGCATTTCCTATTCTTATTTACAACTTGTTCTATAGTGAACTATGCATTAATTTTATTTTATTGCTAGTTGGTATAATTTAACTCGGAGCTATTTACCTTAAATCATAGAAGGTAATTTCACTTCTTTACATTTGTGTTAAATTCACTACACTTTATACAAGTTTTGTTATATAGTGATTATTTTAAAGAAATCATCCTAAATAGGAGTAAAACATAGAGAAAGTACCAAAATAGGAGCTCCATGTTTTCATCTCCTAAATAGAAGTTCACACTGTGGTAATGTGACACTGTATATAGACATTTCAGAATATTTTTTGGTAATGTATATGGTCATAATTGGCACTGTAAATGCATTTTACCTCCTATTTCGGAAATAAAAACATAGACCTATTTTGGTACATTTTCAATGTTTTACTCCAACTTAAGTCTTTTTCCCTTTATTTTAGCTCACGACTATTGTATTTGTCTTATATCTTGGTAGAACTAAGAAGTGGTCTGTGATTGGTCATGATGCAAGTCATTTGCTGGTTTTTAATACTGATAATTTGTTTTTTAAAAATTGGGTTGTTTTTTAAAATAGTTTCTTCATTTTTTAAATGGTGTACAAAAACTGTAAACTGATTCTTTTTTTTTGAACCGGTATTCCAAAAGGAAAGGCGTAAAGCCGTAAACTGTGTCTTAAAACTCGTTATTCTAAGCAGTCGTTTGTGAATGCCTATTTGCTAGGAATTTGGCTGGTGTTTAAGTGGTGTACAGAGTTTAAATTGCTTCTCTATTGTTTTGACCGGTCTACCAATGTGTAAACGTTTTTTTTAGAACTGTTTATCTGTCTTTCGAAGTGGGTGTCTTAAATTTGGGTAGAAGTGTTTATTTCCTAAGAAGTGGGTAGAACTGAGAAGTTGGTAATTTGTTTTTGAAAGTGGTCTACAAAAAATCAGGTAATCTAGTTCTTTGTTTCTAAACATGGTGTACAAAGTAAACTGGTTAATTGTCTTTTGGACGGGCTAAAACTAATGAACTACTTTTTTTAAAATAAAACGGGTACTTCATTAAAATGAAGTTGTTAACTGTAGGCATTCTTTGTGCATACGGCAGTACACTGCTAACTCTTAAAGTAACCATGTGAGGTTGATGACTCAGGTTTGCCCATTTAAGAATATTGTATTTGACAAAGTGATGATTAAGATTCAATCCAAATGATTTAGCAAAAAAATCCCACACCTGTGGAATAGATTTCGCAGAGGGTCTGCTTTTGGAAGGACAAAATGTTTTGAGTATTTTTTTGTTTCATTAGCATTATTGTACATGGAGTGTTTTCAAAAGATTATTTTCCAGCTTATTTTGAACTTATACGAATTTAGAGTTTGGTCATTGGTGAGCCACAAGCATTAAAATGGCTTTGATAAGCACTTTTTTAAGCCACCTAAATACCTAATTCATAATCCAAAAGCAAGTTCATACCTACTTTGTTACGGAGTACTTGTTTTGTCATACATATTTTATTGACACTTTGGTGTTCAGGCCTAATTGTGTTTTATACTCGTATGTTAAGCATTTAATTAATTTTGGTTTGCAAACACTCAGATTTGATCCAGCAGAAACTTAAATTAACAAGCACTGCACTTAGAAAAACAATGCACTACCAGATTTTATATTTAATTTTTCAAATATATATCCCAGAAAAGCAAAATTGAAATTTTTATTTTTCAAAAACACCACATCAAGACTTTAAAGTGGTTCAGTTCACTCTGGTACGATATTGAAATATTTGGTTCCTTACTTCCTTTATGTCATGTATGGTTCAACACATGTTTTTGGTCTTGAAAATTGAGTTCCTTGGGCAGGCAAAGTTTCTATACTACATTTTCCTTCATCCGAATAGGTTATAATGTTACTAATTACCATATAGACATCTTTTTGAAATTTTGTTTTTGGTTATTTGACATCCAAGTTTGTAACATGACATGGCGCAATGACGTCGTTTGATCCATTTAGCCTACCCCACCTAGTGGGATAAGGCTTTGTTGTTGTTGACTTCCGAGTTTGTTCCTGTAATAAGTGGTTGGGAGTAACTAATGGCAGTGGTCGGTGAAATTAAATGGAATTAAGCAAAAACTCATTTATCTCCATAAAAGGTTCATTTGGTTGATCAAGCCACTGAAGAAAATGTTAGGATATGTTGATGCAATCTGCCATTGATAAGAATAGAAATGAGCTTTGTGAAGTTTGTTGCTCTAAGACTAAAATGATTGAGCCTAGCTGAAGATTCTAGATCTTTCCATTTAACTCACCAATGGCTAAATTCCCAGAACATACCTTCAAATCATTTTTATTATCAACAAGGTCCTTGATTTGAACAACCTGTACTAGGATAGTGAGCAAACAAAATGGATGGCTTTACCATTAAGACGAGCTTGATTACAGTACTTGTCCTTCATAAAGGATGACCATATCGAGTACCTAGTTATATGTGAATATAACTTTTGATGACTATAAAAATAAGCTCATATGAGTTAGCATAATACACATTAAGATTCTTATATGGGCATATTTTTATACTGTTTAAAATAAGTTATGATGTGCACACTTTTTTACCGGATATGAGTTTATTTTTATAATGTGGAGTATATAAGAAGTAAATGAAAAGTTAGGAAAAGCTTCTCTGATTGCAGCTTCTCTGATGGCAGCAAAAAGCACAAGGCCTACCCGATTTTGATGGCAGCTTCTGTGAAAGCTACCCACTTCCTGCAGCTAAAGATTAACCAGGGCCACCATCCCCTTTTCACCCACTCTCGAGAAAGGATCAGGGTTTCTCCCAAACTACTGCGGCCAGTCATGGCCGCTCTCAGCACCACCGCAGCTGCAGGCCTATCTGAAACTTTCGTCAGACTCAAGCAACAAGGCAAAGTAAGGCAACCACTCCTTGATTTCAATGACACCATGCTGGGATCTTTTTCCACGTCCTACTTCCCCCTATTTCACAATTCTTATGGGGTGAAATTTGCTACTGCATAATATAAATTTAAAATCTCTAAAAGTTAACAACTGGAATTTCAATTTTGAAAGTTATATACTCCACTTAAGAGGGAAATTTGTTTATAAACCGCTCGTGTGGAAAAGTTCTATATATTTTTGGTCTTGATGGGGCTCGTACACCAAAGTTTGTTACATTATGGAAACCCTTTGGCTGAATTAAGTATTCTGTATAACTTGATGGCTGCGTCCATTGAGAATGGAGCTAAAAGTGTCATTTTGGACAATCTTTTAGCTTTGAGTAAATAATAATGGACCAGCTTCATTTGCTTTCCTACTTCCACTGAAGCTTTGGATAGTAAAAGCAACATATAAAAATGACACATCAAACATTGCTTCTTACTCAATGAAGTTTTAGGTCGGGCTAATAGTTGGTTTGTATTGCTGCTGTTTGTAAAACATGATGGCCATTTTGCCTCGAGAACCATTGAAAGATAAGAAATTATTTTAGCTTGTCTTTATTTTTCTTATTTTCTTTGTACTAACAACAGTCATTACACTCTCTAAGGTGGCATTGATTCCATATATAACTGCTGGTGATCCTGACCTATCAGTAACTGCAGAAGCACTTAAAGTTCTTGATTCTTGTGGTTCAGACATAATTGAGCTTGGAGTTCCTTATTCTGATCCTCTAGCTGATGGGCCAGTTATACAGGTTCAAGAATATGTTGCTATCCTTAGCAGTGCTCTAGGTTCTCTGCTTAAGCGCTAAGCCTCCCCTTGCCCGTTTCCACCAACAATTCAATTTATCCTGTGTTTTTCCTGCCTAAGATAACTAAGGGCTTGTTCTTTTCAACTTATCTGATTGTAGTTTCATTTTAAGCCGTTTCTAATCTGATTTGATCTGATTCCAATAAGAATAAGTAAAAGATAAAAGAATATGTTGAAGAGAACAAACTCTAAGGCCCTGATAAATCCATTTCTAAGGGCGCCTAGGTGTTAGGCCATAGTCTAATGCATAGGGGATACCTAGTGTTTTTTAAAACACTGATCATTGATTAATTTCCTTTTTGTCACATTGATATAACCTCAATTTTGCATTTTCAATTTCACTTTCTCAGGCTGCTGCTACTCGTTCACTGCAGAGAGGAACCAATTTTGACAAAATAATCTCAATGTTAAAAGACGTAAGTTAATTGATCTATCCATGTATAGCTTAGCAATGCAAGCCACTATACCAAAGCCTGACTGGCTTCCATGCATTGGGGAACATCCTACAACAACAACAAACCCAGTAGAATTCCAAAGTGGATGATCTTGGTAGGGTGAGTATATCCTAGTCTAATACCAAAGCGCGCATGTAGAAAAAACAAAGGCAACAACTCCCACTCTGGGCAAAGCACTACCCAAAGCCTAACCTACCACCTAATCTTTGACCTCCAGAAGCTCCTATCTAAGGCTATATCCAAGTTAGTCCTTAAAAATGTAAGTCGTGTCTGATGACCTTGCTCCATCTCTCTTTTACCTCTGCCACTACTCCTCTTGTCCCCTACCACAAGCCTCTCACCCCTCACCAGAGAGTCCCGCATTGAACAACTTTTTATTAAACTCAAATTGCTTTCAACATGGATCAATCCCTACATGTCTTTGTTTCAGTAATTTAATCTAGTTTTGTTTTCGGTTTTTTATTATCTTGTCAATTGTCCTTCATCGACTCCTAATATTATGCAGTTTAATTTTCCCAGGTTGTTCCTCAATTATCCTGCCCAATTTGCTTGTTCACCTATTATAACCCTATTCTTAAGCGCGGGATTGAAAAGTTCTTGGACACTGCTAAAGATGCTGGAGTACATGGTAAACTCCTTTTTGTTTACACGATTTGTATATGATATATGAACTTACCTTAATATGACTGCATTTTTTTTCCAGGGCTAGTGGTTCCGGATGTCCCTCTTGAGGAAACTGAGATTTTGAGAAAGGAAGCTTCTAAGAAAAAGATTGAATTGGTTTGTTTTTCTTTTGAACATCCATGTTGATGCTTCAAACTTTGGAGAACTTATAGCCTGTATAGGCTTCATCTCATAGTTGAAAGGAGATTATAATTTAGGCAAAAAAAAAATGCCATGATGCAGTTTCATACAATTCGTACGAATACTGCTGCTGCATCTTTTAAATGGGATATGTGATGTCTGAGTTTTACCACTTTTATGTTCATGTTTTGATTCGGCACAATTTTAATATCTGTGCTATTTAAGGTGTTGCTCACAACGCCAACCACCCCAACAGCTAGGATGAAAACAATCGTCGAATCTTCTGAGGGGTTTGTGTACCTTGTAAGACTTTATTTCACTAATCATTTAGGTCTTTGGCCCCTCACTTATTTTTTTTACAGATACTTAAGATAAACTACTGTATTCTACTTTCGTCATTGTACATATCTCCTTGAGGGTAAAATGATTAATTTACAGAAGATATGAATGCAAGGAAAGCTTATTGTTTATTGCACTTCCAAATAATAGGTAAGCTCAGTTGGAGTTACTGGAACTCGTGAATCTGTTAGTAACGCGGTTCAGTCCCTTTTGAAGGAAATTAAAGAGGTTTGATATTACTAGTGAAACAGTATCTTTTTTTCTTAATGATATTAACTGGGTATTTTTTTTACTCTGCCAAATTTGTTAACAACAAACCAAATTCACAGGCAACATCCAAACCAGTAGCAGTTGGTTTCGGCATATCAAAACCCGAGCATGTGAAGCAGGTGCGTCTCGTAAAGTACTTATTACTCCCTCTGTTTGTAAAAGCAGTTCTTATTTTGACTTTTGGTAGATTAATTTTCATAATTTGACTTTCCAATTATATTTTTAGCGTCGAAGAAAAAAGAAAGACAAGTCACTTATATTACTTACTATACAACAATCACTTGAATAACTTACTATATCAATGCAAAACGGGTAGAGTATATTGCAATGACTTTTTTGGATATATTAGTCATTTACTGTATTAGTGGAAGTGTTTTGAAGAAAACAAAGAGGCATTATCAGATCCTTGGTTTAGGACTGAAGGCATCATGTGTTTACAGGTCGCGGAATGGGGAGCCGATGGAGTAATTGTTGGCAGCGCAATGGTTAGAATACTGGGCGAAGCCAAATCGCCCGAAGAAGGACTCAAAGAGCTGAAAGTCTTCGCAACATCCCTAAAATCTGCACTTTCGTGATTTTACTGCACCGGATTGGTGGAATCGAGCCAGGTTCTATAGTTTGGTAATATATGTTTTTATATTGACTATTGCTGTGCCAATATTTAAACCAAGATAACTCTGGTTAAAAAATACATTAATTTTTCTTTACGGAGTACTCCCTCCGTCCCCCTGTATTTGTCCAGATTTGACTTTTGGAACTGTTCATCTAAGCACTTTGACTCATCAAATGCTCTCAATGTGTAAGCCTAAATATAGTCATGTGTGATCTTGTTTGATTTGTCTTAACATATAGATTATTAATATATAATTTTTATAATTTTTTAATATACAAATTACAAGATAAAATGGATTAAAGAAGTGCATTGGATGGTGTGCAAAAATGAAAGTGGACAAATGCAGGGGGACGGAGGGAGTATTATATATGGGTTACTCCCTCCGTCCCGCTATATTCGTCCACTTTTGACTTTTGGAACTGTTCATCTAAGCACTTTGACTCATCAAATTCTCTCAATGTGTAAGCCTAAATATAGTCATGCGTGATCTTGTTTGATTTGTCTTAATATATAGATTATTAATATATAATTTCTATAATTTTTTAATATACAAATTACAAGATAAAATGGATTAAAGAAGTGTATTGGATGGTGTGCAAAAATGAAAGTGGACAAATATAGTGGGACGGAGGAAGTATAACCAATGCACTTTGCTGTATTGTTCACAATAAAGAAATATTGGTGCTTTGGTAAAATACTCCAAGAGCAACAATATGGTGGTGGGAAATTCTCCTAACATTTGGTTGTCCATTGATAATTATCTCCATGATCTCCAAATTCAGATCTTCCAATTGCTTACATTTGTTAGCCTAGCATAATAAATACTCCCTCTGTTCCAAAAAAGATTGTCACAATTTGACCTTTTTGATCAAATTGTGGCATCCTTTGTCCACGAATTAAATATAGTTAAAAATAATTAAATATTATAAAAATTTGATATATCAAAACTATATTTTAAAATAAATCTAATTTTACTAAATTTACATTATAACTAAATATTTTTTTTCCATAATTTGTTGTCAAAGTATTGCACAGTTTGACCGAAAAAGTTAAACTGTTGTAATCCTTTTGAGACAGAGAGAGTATATGTTTTGGAATTCTATTTTAGAATTAAAAAAGAAAGGGTGATTATGATTATGCTAGGGTGATTTGAGAATTTGTTACTCTTAATGATGTACTCTCCATTCTGAAAGCATTAATGGAGTGATTTTAAATGGTGAGAACACAGAAGAGTTCAATAATATATTTTGTGAGAGTTTGAGATACTTTAATTTCATTTGAGTGAGAGTTTTGTAATAGTCGAACAGTATTTGTTCCTTTTTTTACAGTTCATTTTTTATTTTTTGCAACCAAAATTTATTAACTGTGACCATTAATTAAATTAGATTTGTATCATATATTGATACCAGAATAATCTTATTATTCCAGAATAATCTTAAAGACTTTTACAAAAGTATACTCCAATTTCAAATTAAGTTGTATGATTACTATTTACATGATAAAATTTAATTTACTATTTTCCCATTTTTGTTATTCATTAGAAAAAATAATAGTCATGCTAGTACTTCTTGTTTTGTAGAGCTTTTGATATATTTTTTTAATATGTAAATTTTATTTTTTTAATTCCGCAACAATTCTTAATTAAATTGTACTGAAAATAACATCAGTCAAACATTGTAAATCCAAATTGAAGATTTAAATTAGATCGAAGGGAATACTTTATTTAATCAATATACTATGTAATTTTTATATATTTAAAAGTCAAATGTCGATTTTAGTTGATCATAAAAAAGTCAAAATTAGACAAATATTTATTGACAAAGAAGTAACTTAGTAGTGTATATTATATTTTGGGATTTTTTAGAGTTTTTGTTTGTCTTTTCTAAGAGAAAATATTATCTCTTGATTCACAACCATTCATGTTTGTGTTTCTTTTTCTAGGGAGATATTTGAGGTTAAGAGTTTTGAGTTTGTCTGTACCAAATTTGTATTTTGTATACAACCATATTAGGGGTACACTAAACATTTTATATATCAAAAAAATATTATACTAGCATTTTGTGTTAGCAATTAACACATTGACACAAAATATCGATTACAATTTGAGTACAACCTTTTGTGTAAAGTTCTTTTGTTTACCCCATCTTGTTATCAAGTACTCCATTAATTTGGAGGATACTTTTTCCACTTCTACTTTTTTTTTTGTATGTGTTCATTTGAGTAGGTATACCTATGGGTATGGTTGTCCTTTCGCGCCCAACATTTGTAGTCATAATTACAACGGGAAACATAGAAATTATCCACTCACGTCTTACTGCACTACAAAACAAAGTCGCGAAGAAATAGGAACCAACCACTACTCACTACTTAACCACTATCAATCTAACTAAGGTAGTGGGCATGTTATTAAAAAATTTTAAAAACATGGAGGATCAAGTCTTCATTAGACCATATGGTATGGTGTGATGGATGATACCCATCACACTATCCCACTCACACTTAGTGTTTCCTCAATTTTTTTCTTTCTCATCAGAATCCATCACAGCACCTTACAGTGCAGGATGTGGATTACGCCCATCATGGTATTAAACGAAAATAATCTAAAATATAACTATTACATAAATATTGCATTAAAATTTAAATTTAAAATTACATTGACATAATGCGGGAAAAGGAGAAATAAGAGCTATACAGTACGAAATTGAAAATAAAAAAACAAGAACTTGATTGCGCACAGACAATGCTTCTTCCTCTGTCAGGGTCCACACTCGCTTCGCAACCCGCCTTGTGGAGTCTTCATTGCGCCCGGGTTCGTTGCGTAGGGGACGTTCTCAACGGGCGTCGGTCTGGCTATTCCCAGAACTTTTGATGAATTTTATAAATAATTGCGTAGCCACTTGAGAAGTTGCAAATAGTTAGGATCTATAATATAATGTTTGATAATATTTAGATAAATTTTAAAAGAAATTAGGTTGAGAGAATATTGAGAGAAGATGTGATTTTTAAAGGGATGGGGGGGGGGGGGGGTTGAATAATAACTTTCAAAAAAAATATTAAAAACTAGCTGTGGTGACCGTGATGACCATCACCCCATCACGATCCGATCCCCTGTAGGGGTGGTCTTCCACACCGTGATGGTAGGTGATGTGGCATTACCTGGCCATCACGGCACTACCATAGTTTTCATACCGTGTGGTATTATTCCCATGTCCCAACATGACCTATTGGTATTTGGTAGTATACAAGTACTTCAGCCATTACTAAATACTACTCCCTCCGTCTAAAAAAATGTCATCCCAATGCGTGTTGCAATATTTTAAATAACTTTATAAATAAAATATTGTGAAATTAAAAAATAAAAATTATATGTTTAAAAACTATATCAAAAGATCTACAAAACTAGAGGTGACACGACTTAATTATTTTACGAGTATCAAATTGACAACAAAATAGACAAACAAATTGAATAAATTTGACTTTGTAAATAGTAGCTGTGAAGATAGTTTTTGGACGAAAAGAATATAGATCTAAAACATGCATTCTAGTGATAAATTGATCAATGTTTTTTTATAATGGACCTAAAACGCCCGTCTTTCTCGTTCATTTCGAAAAAATAGTAAATTTTTCAGCATATAAATAACAAATTAGGGGAATATTATATAGATTAAATTTATTTACACATGACATATAAGAGTAAGATTTAAAAAACAAATGTCAAACTACACAAAAAGGATAAATTAAACCCTATCCATGAGGGCTCCTCAGAACCAGCCGGACAGTCAGCTAAGAGGAGGAAAATTAAACTTTAATCATAGATTGGTGATATATAGTGAACCTGCACTGGTACTCATAAATGCCTTATGTTTAGAACCGTTGCCTTTTCACACAACTCCCTGCAGCAATCGAGCTCATGTCTCCCCTTAACACTATTTGTCTTGTCAAATGCGCAATGACATTAGAGCAAATGTCAAACTGCACAAAAAAGTGGAATGCCCACCCCGGGCTCTCCACACCCCGACCCGACAAGATTGTGAGGGGAAAAATCATCATATAATCTTAATCTGGTTCTTAGATAGGTCGTCCCGTGCCCGGTGCACACAAGGAGCTATTACAAAAAATAGAACTCCCACATTGCCACTGCTGAGATTGGACCCTAAGATCAACGGGCTTGACATTTTCTCATTAGACCAGTTGAGGACCAGTTGAGCTACTCGTGTAGGCAAATGTCAAACTACACAAGAATGCATGCATGGAGGCGAGGGAGTGTATGCCACTAATATTTGTTTGTTGTGTGTATGCTATTAGTGGAGCAAGCAGCATTAGGTAGATAGGTGGTGCGTGAAATTGATAGAATTTGATAAGATAATAAGACACTAAACCATTTTGTGAGATTGATAAGACCCCATCCAAACGACTCTCTAACCTAACCTTGCAAGGACGTACGCAAACGTACTCCGTATAATGTATGGCGTGGATTGCATAATGCACGAGTGTCTACCACAATACACTCTTACTAGACCATCTCCAATGCATAAGATATATTGTGGTAATGCAAAATCTATTTTACACTTTTTTTTTACACAGTAACTTTTTTATATTTAGTCCAACCATATTTTTTACATAATACATTTTTATTTTTTAAGTTATTTATTCATAATAAATATTTAAATAATCATTAGGATATATATATTTAAATGATAGGATAGGATATCCCCCAAAAAAAGTCTGCAATTTTTTAAATAAAAAAAGGAATGAAATCAGCGAAACAAGTTTTACACTATCTATAGGAAACTATACACTCTTGGAAATGCTTTTTTACACTACTCAATATATTGCTTTTTACCACTTCTTTTACACTCTCCGTTGGGGTGTCAAAAAATTGACAATAAATTGTACTCCCTCCATCCTAAAATGTTCTTCTCGTTTCTGTTTACGAGTTTGAATGACTTTATTTTTAATTCAATTTATTTAATTGTAGGTGTAAAATTAAAAGGTAAAATTTATATATTTAAAAACTACATAAAAAGTTCTACAAAATAAGAGGTGAAAAGACTATATCATTTTAACAAATAACTAACGAAAATAGGTAAAGAATGTGATTAAAGTTTGACCATGTGAATAGTAACTGGGAAGAACATTTTAGAACGGAGGGAGTATATTCAACTTTCTCTATCCCAAAAAGATGTTCTCATTTTGCCTCTTAAGAAATTTAAGG